GCGCCCCGCGGCGGCCCTCCCACCTCCTCCCCTCGGGTAGTGTGTGTGTGTATGTGTGTGTGCGTGTTGTGCGGTCTGTCTCGTGCATGTCCTTCATACCCCTTGCCTTGGAGGGGGTGCACGTTGCTAGCCAGGTAGCCTGCACCCCGCTCCCGAGACTGAGAGCAGGACGCGAGTAGCGCTCCCTGCACGCCCCCCCCCCCTCGTCGTGTACCAGGGGGGCGCGCCCCAGGCAGGCCTACGGCACCAAGCGTAGGCCCTGCATCCATATTGTCTCGCAGGGATATTATAAGGTCTTGTCCCGCGGTGCTTTGAGCCTGTCGTGGTTAGGATCGAACCCATCCCCGAAGCGCCTTTACCTTTTTTTACCTCCTCCCCCTCATCCTTCTCCTCCTCCTCCTCCTCATCCCCCTCCTCCTCCCCCATTCCCCTCCCCCATCCGCCACCTCCTCCTCCTCCTCCTCCTCCGCCTCCGTTTCCTCCGCCTCCTCCTCCTCCGCCTCCGTCCTCCTCCTCCTCCTCTCCTCCTCCTCCTCCTCCTCCTCCTCCTCCTCCTCCTCCTCCTCCTCCTCCTCCCCCCCCTCCTCCTCCTCCTCCTCCTCCTCCTCCTGCTCCTCCCCCCCCTCCTTCCTCCTCCTCCTCCTCCTCCTCCTCCTCCTCCTCCTCCCTCCTCCCCTTCCCCCTCCTCCTCCCCATTCCCTCCCCATCCTCCACATCCTCCTCCTCCTCCTCCTCCTCCTCCTCCTTCTCCTTCTCCGCTTCCTCCTCTCCATCCTCATCATCATCATCATCATCATCATCATCATCATCATCAGCATCATCATCATCATCATCATCATCATCAGCAGCAGCAGCACCAGCATCATCGTCTGCAGCATTATCATCGTCAGCATCATCAGCATCAGCATCATCAGCATCAGCATCATCATAAATTTCATCACCGACACCATTCACATCATTAGCATCGTCATCAACAACAACAGCATCGTCATCGTCAGCATCAACCGCATCGTCGTCAGCATAAGCATCGCCATACTCATCAGCATAAGCATGATCAGCGACTGCATCAACGTCAGCAGCATCCGCATCGGGACCATAGAGATCAACAACAGCCGCATCAGCAACATAATCAGGATCCACATCATCAGTCTCATCAGCACCAACGTCAGAATCATCACTAACAACTCCATGATCAACATCACCGTTGTCACCGTCAACATCCATATCATCAACAGCAGTAGCATCCTCATCAGCAGCATCCGCATCCTCAACAGAGTTTCGCCTGAGAGGTCCTCATCAGTTATGACTCTGAAGCTTAAGAATTGACACCAGTTTCACAAGTGGAGGGCGGTTCGCTTTCACAATGTCGCTCTCGCCTCAGCGCCGCGCACATTCGTCTAAAACATGTGCAAGCGTTTCAACGATTGAGGGCGAGTGGTTTCCAAATGTGGCTCTCGCATTAGCGCCGCGCATATTCATTTTAACAATTGCAAGAGCTTCACAAGTTGAGACCGGTTCCGTTTCAAAATGTGGTTCTCGCCATGGCACCGCGCACATTCGTTTTCAACAGTTGTAAGAACTTCACTGGTTGAGAGCGAAAGGATTTCAATATGTGGCTCTCGTCTTAGCGTCGCACACACTCGTGAAACAAATAGCCTGGCGAAGGGCCCAACCATATGCAGTTGTGAATACCGCAGTTGTGCATATCTTCTTCGGTGGTGCTCCTTAGGGGCCCACGACACACGTGAGGGATGTGCCGACATGGGTGTGTAGGACGCATGCGTGCGGTGGCACTGGGGCCTTAGGAAGAGCTCCCTATGGGGCCACGAAACGTGTGATGGGTGTGCCGAAGTGGGTGTGGCTGACGCATGCGGGCGGTGGCGCTGGGGCCTTCGGTGGAGCTCCCGATGGGGCCACGAAACGTGTGAGGGGTGTTTTCCGAAGGGGGTGTGGCTGACGCATGCGGGCGGTGGCACTGGGGCCTTCGGTGGAGCTCCCGATGGGGCCATGAAACGTGTGAGGGGTGTGTTCCGAAGCGGGTGTGGCTGACGCATGCGGGCGGTGGCACTGGCGCCTTCGGTGAAGCTCCCCATGGGGCCACGAAACGCGTGAGGCGTGTTCCGAATTGGGTGTGGCTGACGCATGCGGGCGGTGGCACTGGGGCCTTAGGAAGAGCTCCCGATGGGGCCACGAAACGTATGAGGGGTGTTTTTCGAAGTGGGCGTGGCTGACGCATGCGGGCGGTGGCACTGGGGCCTTCGGTGGAGCTCCCCATGGGGCCACGAAACGCGTGAGGAGTGTTCCGAATTGGGTGTGGCTGGCGCATGCGCGTGGTGGCACTGGGGCCTTCGGTGGAGCTCCCCAGGGGGCCACGAAACGTGTGAGGGGTGTTTTCCAAAGTGGGTGTGGCTGACGCATGCGGGCGGTGGCGCTGGGGCCTTCGGTGAAGCTCCCTATGGGGCCACGAAACGCTGCTCTGGGCGGGTGAAACGCAGGGAGGAAGCATGGGGAGGAGGGGGAGGAGGTGGAGGAGGAGGAGGAGGAGGAGGGAGGAGAAAGGAAGGAGGGAAGGAGGGATGGAGGGAACGCGGGGACCGTCTTTTCAAAACGAGGACCCAACACCACAGGATGGTTGGGAAAAGTTGCAAGAGCTTCACGGATTGAGGGCGGTTCCTTTTCAAACTGTGGTTCTCGCCGCCGCGCACATTCCTCAAATGCAAGAGCTTCACTGTTTGAGAGCGAGTGGATTTCAAAGTGCGGTTCTCGCCTTCGCGCCGCGCACATTCGTCTAAAACATTTGCACGAGTTTCACGGATTGAGGGCGAGTAGGTTTCAAAATGTGGCACTCGCCTTAGCGCCTCGCACATTCGTCGTTTCACGGATTACCATGGTCAGCGAGCCAAAACTTGTGTTTTTAGAAAGATTCAGGTTTATCAGGGTGCACAAGCTATGTTGAATCGCAGTGTACAAATCCCAGGGCGTTCTGGCACGATTCCGAATCGCCAAGACGCAACAGTCAGGTTGACCCCTGGCGTTGGAATCCCGAGAACAATGTGTTGGCACGCCTCAGGGTCTCAGGGTCTCCAACCCGTTGTCTTCCAACTAGGCAGTTCTTCCGTAAAAATGGGCCGTCGTAGGGGCCTATTAAAAGGGAGATTGCCTCTTGGGTTTCTACTGGGCCTCCTCCTCCTCCTCCTCCTCCTCGCCCACTTTGGCTCAAGGCGCATTGTTGCCGCGCCTGGGGTCCTCGCGCCAAACTCGGAAGTGGCAATGGCGGAGGGGGCACCAATCGGCGGGCTGTGAGCGTCGCTTGCAGGGAGACCCAGGGTAGATAGGGTGCACGCAGATCCGCTTTGTGGACTGCGAGGCTGACGTCCTGCAGCTCTACGGCAGCGCTCAGCACCACCGCATCCATGCACCATACAATACAACATGCCGTCAAGAAGCGGAGCACCAGGTACGGGCTAAAAATATAAGCTACACTGCAGGGACCAGTGCGTGCAAGCCTGGTGGCCTCCACAGTCATCAGCTACGTTGCTGGGATTAGAAGGTACGTTTACGGTACACAGGGGCGGGCCATCAGCTACAGTGATAGTACCAACTCTTACGAACAGGAACGCAGTGCTCTCATCCGGCATTGCGAGACGGGCGAACATGGGAGCGGAACGCCAGCTACGATGCGGGTATGGGCTCTTGCGAGAAGGCGCGCAGCGGCAGCATCTGGTACTGTGGGAAGGCGAGCGCAGGGGAGGGCCACCAGCTAGCTGCTGGAATATTTCTTGCGATAAGACGCGCAGTGGCTGCACCGGGCGGTGCGAGCAGGGCTACCGTGAGCGCGGGACACCAGCTACAGTGCAGCGATCCGCTCTTACGAGAAGGCGCTCAGTGGCAGCTCCTGGCACTGTGGAAGGGCAGACGCAGGGGCGGGCCTTCAGCTACCATGGTGGTATCAGCTCTTGCGAGAGGGCGCGCCGTGCTCTCACCCGGCATTGCGAGACGGGCGATAGTGGGACCGGGACGCCAACTACAGTTCAGGTATGGGCCCTTCGAGAAGGCGCGCAATGGCAGCTTCACTACGCCAAGACGAGAGCAGGGGACGGCCACCAGCTACGATGCCGGTATCCGTTCTTGCGCGAATGCGCGCAGTGGCTGCATCGGGCGGTGCGGGCACGGCGACCGTGAGCGCGGCGCACCAGCTACAGTGCAGGGGTCCGATCTTGCGAAAATGACTGCAGCGGCAGCTCCTGGCACGGTGGAGGAGCAGGCACGGGGACACGCTATCAGCTACAATGCTCGTGCCCGCTCTCGGGAGAAAGCGCGAAGCGTATGTTCAGCTACAGCGCTGGTGTCGGCGCATCAGAGCTGGCATGCGGTAGCCTGCGAGCCGGGTGCGAGCCGTTTGGACGTGTTCAGCTACAGCGGTGGCATCGGGGCCTCAGAGCTGGCGTGGCGCAAGCGTGCCAGCCGAGCGGCGAAAGGGAAGAAATGGCAATATTTTCGATGCATGCGAAAAGGGGCACGGGCTGGGGCAGCAAGTGCGACAAGGGGCTTCTGCAGGCGAAGCTCTTCTGATGGTCAGTGTGATTAGGCGGGCGGTATTGTGAAGAAGGTATACACCATCCCGAGCGAGAACGGCCAAGGCCAGACTGGTTCGCTATGGGAGAGCAGCCATCCATCAGGAGCGCCATTGTGAGTCAAAGCTCGCATGTCGCGAGGAGTCGTGCGTGCCATCGGAGCATTAACCTCAGTAGCACAAACCAGCACGACTTTCCTCCTCCTCCTCCTCCTCCTTCTCCGCCGCCACCACCGCCCTCCTCCTCCTCCTCCTCCGCCTCCTCCTCCTCCTCCTCCTCCTCCTCCTCCGCCTCCGCCTCTGCCTCCTCCTCCTCCTCCTCCTCCTCCTCCTCCTCCTCCTCCTCCCATTCCACCTCCTCCACCTCCTCCTCCTCCACCTCCTCCTCCTCCAGGCCCTCTCCACCCCCCTACCCTCCCCCACGTGCCTCTCGTCGGAAAAGGTCCACCGCGAACCTGCACGCCGCGCACGTCATCTCGGGGCCGACCTTCTTTGATAGGGCCGCTTCCGCCACCGCGAGCTCGGATGCCTTGGAGCAGGCGACCCGCCCGCTCCCCGCCGCTCCAGACCCTCGTTTTCCTCCTCCTCCTCCTCCTCCTCATTTTCCTCCTCGGTGTTCTCCTCCTCCTCCTCCTCACCTCCTCCTCCTCCCACATCCTCCTACTCCTGCTTTTCCTCCTCGTTGTCCTCCTCCTCCTCCTCCCTCTCCTTCTCCTCCCCCTCCATACTCCTCCTCCTCCTCCTCCTCCTCCTCCTTCTCCTCCTCCATACTCCTCCTCCTCCTCCCTCCTCCTCCTCCTCCATACTCCTCCTCCTCCTCCTCCTCTCCTCCTCCTCCTCCTCCTCCCCTTCCTCCTGCTCCGCCTCCTCCTCCTACTCGTCCTCCTCGTCCTCCTCCTCCTCGACCTCCTCTTCCAACTCTCCTCCTCCTCCTCCTCCTCCGCCTCCTCCTCCTCATCATCATCATCATCAGCAGCAGCAGCATCAGCATCAGCATCAGCATCAGCAGCATCATCATCATCACCATCATCATCATCATCATCATCATCATCATCATCATCATCATCAGCACCATCATCATCAGCATAATCAGCATCATCATCAGCATCATCATCTTCATCATCATCATCCTCATCATCATCATCATCATCAGCATCATCATCATCATCCTCTTCCTTCTCGTCCTCCTCATCCTCCTCCTGATCATCGTCCTTCTCGTCCGCCTCGTCATCATCCTCCGCATCCTAATCTTCATTAGCAGCATCCTCATAATCAGCATCAGCAGCATCATCATCAACATCATCATCATCCTCATCATCATCGTCCTCGTCCTCGTCATCATCATCATCATCATCATCAGCATCAGCATCAGCATCATCATCATCAACATCATCATCATCCACTTCCTTCGCCTCCTCCTCATCCTCCGCCCCCGTCCTCTTCCTCCTCCTCCTCCTCCTCCTCCCCGTTCTCCTCCTACTCCTCTTCCTCTTCCCCTTCGCATCACCATCACCATCATCATCATCGTCATCATCATCATCATCATCATCATCATCATCATCATCATCATCATCATCACCATCATCATCATGATCATCATCATCATCATGAGCATCATCATCAGCAGCATCATCATCACCACCATCATCATCACCACCACCACCACCACCATCATCATCATCATCATCATCATCATCGTCATCATCATCATCATCATCATCATCATCAGCATCAGCAGCAGCAGCATCATCATCATCATCAGCCATCACATCATCATCATCATCATCATCATCAATCATCATCCCCCTCTCCCTCCTCTCCTCCTCCTCTCCTCCTCATCCATCATCATTCATCATCAGCAGCCTCATCCTCATTCCTCCATCTCTACTCCCCTCCTCCTCCTTCCTCATCCTCCTCCTCCTCCTCCTCCCCTCCTCCTCCTCCTCCTCTCTCCTGCTCCTCCTCCTCCTCTCCTCCATTCCTCCCCTCCCTCCCCCTCGCCCTCCTCTCCTCCTCCTCCTCCTCCTCATCCTCCTCCTCCTCCTTCATCATCCACATCATCATCATCCTTATCATCATTCATCATCATCATTAATCATCATCATCATCATCAGCATCATCATCATCATCATCGTCATATCAGCATCAGCATCAGCATCATCATCGTCATCGTCATCATCGTCATCAAGCAGCACATCCACATCATCATCATCATCAGCATCATTAGCTCATCATCATCACTACTCCCCCTCCTCCTCTTCCTCCTCCTCCTCATCATCATCCTCCTCCTCTTCCTCCTCCTCCTCCTTCTCCTCCTCCTCAGTATCCTCCTCCTCCTCCTCCTTCTTGCTCCTCCAGCTCCTCCTCCTCCACCTCCTTCATTAATTGTTCTTATCGGTAACTCCTCCGTGTCGCACCTCGAGGCCGATCGAAAGGGCGGGCCGGGCGTTCCGCCTGAGACGTCCCAACCATAAATGATCCTGAAGCTTGCACATTGGCAACAGCTTCACAGTTGGAGGGCGGGTGGCTTTCAAAATTCGTATCTCGCCTCAGCGCCGCGCAAACTCATTCATAACGTTTGCTAAGGTTTCATGTATTGAGGGCGGGTCGTGTTCAAAATGTGGCTCTCCCCTGAGCTGCGCGCGCACTCGTCGAAAAAAAGAGTTTCACGGATTGAGGACAGGTCGTGTTCACAATTTGGTTCTCGCCTTAGCGCCGCGCGCATTGGTCCTGTTGCATATAAAAATGAAGGCGCCGCGTGGTTCAAATGTGGCTCTCGCGTTAACGCCGCGCACATGTGTGTAAAAAGCGTGAAAGAGTTTCAATGGTTCTCGCGGCTAACGTACCAGAAGCGGCGTTTTGGAACGATTCAGGGTTGCCACGCGGTGTTTAAATCCCAACAGAGGCGTTGTCGCACGATTCCGGACGCCAACACGTAACAGTCAGGTTAACTCGTAGCGTTGAACACCTGGAAATGATGTTCTGGAACGGGTCACGGTTTTCACACGGTTGCCCCCCAACGGGGCACTTCCCTGTGGAAATAAACCCTTGCAGGGGCCGATGACGATGGAACTTGGAGGGAAGGTGTATTCCAACATCGATGATGCGTCTTAGGTGTACACTGGTCTTCCTCTTCCTTCCTCCTTCTCCAGCCTCCTCCTCCTCAGCCTCCTCCTCCTTCTCCTGCTTCTGCTTCTGCTCCTGCTCCTGCTCCTCTTCATCCCTCCTCCTCCTCTTCCTCCTCCAGCCTCCCCAAGCCTCCTGCTCCTCCTCCACCTCCTCCTCAACCTCCTTCTCCTCCTCCTTGTTTTCATCTTGCTCCTTATCCTCCTCCTCCTCCTCCTCCTCCTCGTCCTCCTTCTTTTACTCCTCATCCTCCTCCTCCTGCTCCTTCTCCCCCTTCTCCTCCTCATCCTCCTCCTTCTCCCCTCTCTCTCGTCCTCCTTCCTCTCTCGTCATGTTCTCCTCTCTCCCCTCCTCCTCCCCTCGTCCTCTCCTCCTCTTCCTCCGCTTCCTTTTCCACCTCCTCCTCCTCCTCCACTCCTCCTCCTGAGGCCTCCGCGCCCCGGCGACATCTGCTCCTCCTTTCCTCCTCGCTCCTCTCCTCCTCCTCCTCCTCCTACTGCTCCTTCCCCCCGCCTCCTCCTGCCATCCTCCTCCTCCTCCTCCTCTCCCCTTCCACCCTCCTCCAGCCTCCTCGTCCTCTTCCTCTTCCACTTCGTCCTGGTTCTTCTCCTCCTCCTCCTCCTCCTCCTCCTCGTCTTCCTCCTCCCCCTTCTCCTCCTCCTCCTGGGGCCTCTGCGCCACCAGCGACATCCTGCGTAGCCCCGGCGCAAGGCAGCGCCAGCAGTGCCAGCCACCGCGGCCCTGACGACGACGACGACGACGACGACGACGACGACGACGACGACGACAAGGGTGAGGGCTGCCCTGAGATTTTCCGCCGATGAGTTTGGGACAATTTGTTTAGTGTCGTCGCGGCGGCCCCGGCGACACGCTATGCCCTGCTAGCTGATAGTGCGACGCTCTGCTTTATGGGACGGGAGGTTGGCAAAAGCTCGGAGCGTTGATGCCTCGCGACTGGGACGTGCTTAGCATGTCAGCGCCTGTGGAGTGCCTGAAGCTGCCACCGCCATCACCACCATATTCAGCATCACCACCACCACGATCAACACCAGTGTCAGCATCACCACCACCACCATCATCATCATCATCAGCATCATCATCATCATCATCATCATCATCAGCAGCAGCAGCAGCATCCTCATCAGCATCAGCATCATCATCAGCCTCGGCAGAAGCATCAGCATCATCATCAGTATCAGCATCATCAGCATCATCATGAGCATGGTCATCATCATCATCATCATCATCATCATAATCAGCATCATCATTGCCATCGTCATCATCATCATACTCATCATCAGCATCACCACCGTCATCATCATCTGCACCATCATCATCAGCATCATCAGCCTCGTCTGCATCAGCATAATCATCATGGCCATCATCCTCATCATCATAATCATCATCATCATCATCATCATCATCAGCAGCATCATCAGCATCAGCATCAGCATCAGCATCAGCATCAGCATCAGCATCAGCATCTGCATCATCATCACCCTTAGCAGCGTCATCATCATCAGCATCATCACCATCATCAGCATCACCTTGAACAGCAGGAGGCTGCCAGAGCCCCACGAAGGCAGCGGCCGACGGCGCGTGTTTGACGGGAAGGACGCTCTCCGTGTCCTGTGTGCTGCGTGTTCGGCCATGCGCCCCTTGTTACCCATCGGCCTTGGGCGGTCTTCGGCGGTCTTCGGACCGTCTTTGGCTGTCTTCGGCGGTCTTCTGACGACCTTCGGCGGACTTCGGCGGTCTTCTGGCGGTCTTCGGTTGTCTTCGGTGGTGTTTGGCGGTTGCCCGCGGTCTTCGGCGAGCAAGCTGGGCAGCTGACTTCAGCGATGGACCTATGCTCGAACACCTGACGCGCGCTCTCAAATAATGACCCCTCTTGACATCTAGGCCGAGAGGAATGTCATGATACGGCTGGCTCGGGACACGTTCTGGGAGTTCTGGAGCTTCCAGTGGCCCTCGGCCATTCGTCTCTGGCAGTGCGGAAGAACAAGAAAACCTGGAAATCCTGGAACGTACCATGACCATGACTTCTCAATTTGCTGAATGTCAACGGAAAGAAGTTTCAACGTTGAGACCGTGCAGGGCAACAGAAGCCAGTGAAAATGAGCAAACGCCAGCGCTAGTCTGTCCAAACTCAACGGTGGCCACGGACACGGGTACACACCGGTGCAGGACGATCAAAACAAACTCGGGCAGCACAGACACCATGGGGGCTCCCTCCTCTTCCCCAGCGATGCGTTGGGCCCAGTGGGAAGGAAGAGGAAGGAGGAGAAGGGGGGAGAAGTGAGAGGAGAAGGCAGAAGGAGAAGGAAGGAGGAAGGAGCGAGGAGGGAGAAAGAAGGGTGCAGGAGGGATGACACAGGGGATGCAGGAGGGAGTGGGGTAGACAGGAGCGGTCCATGAAAACGCACAGGGGGGGCAGGGAGAGGAAGGGAAGGAGGGGAGAACGACGACGACGACGACGACGCCTACCCCCGACGGCCACTGGACGTCCCCAGAGGCATCCAACGCCCTCCTGGGGACACGAGAGGCCCAAACAGAAACAAGATCCTCCGCCCTCGACCGAGGACAACGACGACGACGACGACGAACCCCGACTGCCCCTCGGGGGTCCCAAAAAAATGCCAAAGTCGTGGGAGCCGTGTACCCTCGATTGGCGACGGCGACGGCCACAGCGCCACGGCGCCGCGGCGCCAAAGTGCCGTGGCGCCACGGCGCCACGATGCGACAGCGACGACGACCCAGACGTTTCGACATCGGGATGTGTGTTACAACATGAGAGGCCTCGCAGATGGGATCCGAGTAGATGGGGTCGGAGGATCGCGCCGCATCGCCGACGCATCGGCGATACGTTGCCGATGCATCGGCGATGCATTGGCGAAACCGGGCTCAGCATCGAGCCGCATCGCTGATGCATCGGCGATGCGGCGCGATCCTCCGACCTCACCTGCTCGGACCCCATCTGGGAGGCCTAAAAGCATGGCTCCCCAGGGGTCAAGGGCTCTTTTCTTCTCTGGGAACGGCTTCTCATCCCGAGCCGTCTTTTGACGGCCCCCGGGGCCCAAAAGTGGCACCTGGAGGCCGAAGACTGGCATCAAAACCCTTCGTCGTGCGGCTGTCACGACGCGAGAACGTTGGCTTTCGGGCCATCACTCGGGCCTCACGCGGCAGTGTAGGGCGATCCGGGCATCCCCAAAACGTTCCCGGCGAGGCGCAGTTGCGGTAAAGCATTCCGAGGCGGGAAAATCATCAAGAACCAGGAACACTGCCGAAATCCTCGACGGATGCCAGGAAACGACGACGCGTTCCCCAACGAAGCACGGCACTCATAAAACCCCAGTGAGACACGCATCACAGCAACTACAGACACCGAGCATTACACAAATATCTGCCTCTGCGATGGAAAAGCCCTCACACAGACACTCGACACGAGGCAAGGAAGCAACATGCTGTCAAAAAACAGCCATGGTCGGGAACTTTTGCTTGGCGCATCGTGGCGGCGGCCCTGGCGACACGCTGTGCCCTGCAAGCGATAGACGTACCGCCCCGCTCCACGGCGCGAGAGAAGGCGCCGGACGTGGGCGCTCGGATCATGGGGGGCGGTGAGCGTGTCGCGCTGCGGCGTGGGGTGCCAGCGTCGGCAGGCGACACGCTAAACCAAAGTTTCCGACCGTAAGCTGGCGGCGACGACGACGACGACGTTGGCGGCGGCGACGACGACGACGACGACGGCTAGCGCCTGCCAACGGCCACCTCCGCGCCCAGCTCCGGCCCATGGCCCACGGCCCCCAGAGGCCCGTGGGGCGGAGGGCTCCCGGCGGCCCTCCGCCTGAGGAAGGCCTCCTCCTCCTCCTCCTCCTCCTTCTCCTTCTCCTCCTCCTCCTCCTGAGGGAGGAGCGCGTGGGAGGGATGAGATACGCCCCTGCTAGGAGTTAAAAAGAACTCTGGGCTAAGAAAGTCGGCTTCACGCCAGGCGTCTTCTGAACCAGCGGCCCCGCAAGGTCCAGACACACGAACATCCCACGAAGAGGAGAAGCTCCAAGAAAACGCCCAGGGTCCAGTCCCGATTCTTGACTCTCTCTTCCCCGCCCCCGCCTCCCGCGCACCGCAACCGAGCCCAGTCAGCATATCCTCTGGTTGGTACTCGTCAGATCCCACACCACGGCGAACCCGAACGACGCTGCGCCAGGAAGGCCGGGCGATTCTGTGGCGCAGCCCGCAGGCCGAGTCGGCTGCGCTGGACCGCTGAGAGTGGGCTGCCCGGCGCCGGGAGGAGCGGCAGGAGCGCAGGGGACATGCGCAGGAAAGGGCGGGGGGGGAGCCAAGAGAGGGGGGAGCGACAGCCAGGGGCGGTCACGTGCGCAGAGAAAAAAACAAGATCTGGAACCCGCGAGAGTGCACGCTTTTCTCATGTTCTTCTGACTTCATATTGGTGCAAGACAGGCGCCGCCGGGAGGGGGGGGGGGCCAGGGAGGGAAACCAGGCAGCAGCCACCACAGCGGGCCGCCGCGGGCCAGCGCCAGGGTCCTACAGTATAGCCGGTCCCGACGCCGCCCGTGCCACCCGCAGGGCAGCGCTGGGGAGGGAGAGGGCGAGGGGGCTGCCCAGACCGCGAGCGCTCGCGCCGTACCTCGCATGCCACAGCGAGAGCGCCTGGCGAGGACGGTGTCAAGGCGGAGGAGGAGGAGGAGAAGGAGGAGGAGGAAGGGGCAGGACGAGGAGGAGGAGGAGGAGGAGGAGGAGGAGGAGGGACGCGAGACCCTTAAAGAGGCCGAAGATGGGATCCGCCGGGCGGCGGGCCACCAGAGCCCCAGGGACGCCAGGGCACCCGGACCCGCAAGGGGGCCGCAGCCGCAGAGGCAAGGACACGAGGAAAGTCTAGAAAAGACGCGCGTCCTGACTGTGCGCGTTGACTGTCCACGTCGTTCAGTTCTAATCGTGCTCATTTCTCAGTGTGCTCGTTTCTAGCTGTTCCTGGCCCCACAGTGGCCAGGAAGAGGCCCAGGATAGAACAATCAGAAATGAGAGGATCTGGGCCCACAACACAAATCGAGGAACCTTCGAATAATTAGACATGAACAACAGGTACCCCTCACACCCAGGCCGACTTTCCTGCATCTGCCGACTGATCTGCATCTGCGGAGGAGGGTCCCAAGAAGGCTCCAAGCACGACCGAAGAGCCCGAAGAGGCCAGCAAGACAGCCCACAGAGGCCCTCGAGACGGCCCCCGAAGGCGCCAGACGTCCCAGCGGCGCCCTGGCGCGATCCAAGAGGGCCCCAATATGGCCCAAGAGGGCACCAGCAGGCCCCCAAGAAAGCTCGTGGGGCCCGAGAAGAGCCCCGAGACAGCCACAAGACGGCCCCAGAGGCCAGGAGCTGGTTCGAAGCACTTAAATTCCGTTTCGCATCGGTTATCGACCAACACCGCTTTGCGCTCAGGGCATTCCTGTGAATCCCTGCACATATGTTCTCCCAGGCGTTGCGGCATCAAGTGTGGGAGCATGGCTGCGGAATGCTTCCCGCTTCCATTGTATTGCATGAGACGGTCTACCCTATCACGCGATGACCTCTATCTGATGCCATTAGTCATGACATCACTGGCCACAATGGGCGTGTCAAGCAGACAGGGCCAGTGGTGACTCGCGCCAGGCGTCTCCGATAAAACCTGGCGAAGACGCGGCGAGACCTGCCGATTGTGGAGAGGAGCCGCCCTCCATCCGTGCAGGTGTTTCACTGGCTCGGGTTCCGCACTGCAGCATCGAAGGAATCATCAAGCGACGACTTCTGATAGGGGGCCACATGCGAACCCTACCCCTACCCCCCACGATTTTTGAGGGGGAGGGTGGGGTTAATTTCGCTCGTGACCTCCCGAACGAAGTGAACCCCACCCTCCCCCTCAGAAATCGTGGGGGGTAGGGGTAGGGTTCGCATGTGGCCCCCTATCTGAGGCCAGTCTGATAAGAGAGCCGCCCTGCATCCGTACTCGCGCTGCGACGAAAAGCGACGGTGGGCGGCGCTTCGGCGAGAACGAGCAGCCTGAAAACGACCTCGCTGCGATTGGTATGAGTACGGGTCCGAGGCTTCCCCCGGAGGCCCTGAAGGCTCTTCTTGGGCCCCAAACCTTCCACATTGCCGGAAAAAATATCCCAGGGCCCGCCCTGGAGCCAATGCGGACGCATTTGGGGCGTCTTGGAGGCCCTGGGGGTCGACCCTGAAGGCAAAAACCACAAACACGTTCCAATGATACATTCGTATCGTTTTCTGGGCCTCAAACGCGCCCAAGTCGGCCCAAGCGGCATCTGCCATTGCCCCAGCACGGCCCTCAAGGCACCAAAGAAGACCAAGGAGGCCCCCAAAACGACCCCCAAGAGGGGCCCAAAAAGCCAGTCACCGCCGCGCCACTGGAAGCCACCACCCCTCAAAACCGACCCGAGACCTGCAAGACTCTTGGGGTTCTCGGGGCATCCCCTGGGTACACAGAGCGGACCGGCCCCAGCGGCTGATTACCAAAACCAAGAACGCACCACATTTAACTCTGAATTGACTGCTTGTCTTTTCTGCTACTGGCCATAAGTGACAAAGAGGCCTCCAAGAAGGCTCCAGGAGGAGCCCAAGAAGAGCCCAAGAGAAGCCCAAGAGGCCCCCGCGAGAGCCCCCAACACAACCACACGAGCTCCTGAAGCGCCCGGGCTAGCCCCGCCCCGCACCCGCCGTCCCCTACCGTCCTCCACCATAAACATCATCATCATCGTCGTCGCCACCATCATCATCATCATCATCATCATCATCATCATCATCATCATCATCAGCATCAGCATCAGCATCATCATCAGCATCATCATCAGCATCAGCATCAGCATCAGCATCAGCATCATCATCATCATCATCACCATCATCACCATCATCATCATCAGAATCAGCATCATCATCACCATCAGCATCATCGTCAGTATCAGCATCATCTTGACCTTCATCATCCTCATCATCATCAGCAGCCGCATCGTCGTCGTCATCCTCACCAGCATCGTCATCATCATCGGCGTCGTCATCAGCAGCAGCCGCATCATCATCATCATCATCATCATCATCATCAGCAGCATTATCACTACCACCACCACCAGCAGCATCAACAGCATGATCATCAGCATCAGCATCATCAAACGCATAATCATCATCAGTAATCAGTATCATCAGCATCATCAGCATCAGCATCATCAGCATCATAATCGTCATCATCGTCATCATCCGCATCATCAGCATCATCATTGGCATCAGTATCACCATAATCATTATCAACAACATCACCATCACCATCGTTATCATCATCCGCAATAATATCATCATCATCAGCAGCATCATCAGCATGACCATCATCCCGTGTTCAACATCGTTATCAGAATTGCCATCATGACCACAACCACAACCACCACCATCACCAGCATCATCAACAACAGCAGCATCATCAGCAGCATCATCGGCATCGTCAGCATCATCATAAGCATCATCATCCGAGTTATCACACATCATCATCACCATCATCATCAACAGCATCATCATCACAGTCATCATGCTCCGCACCATCAACCTCATCATCAACATCCCCCTCATCCCGTGAACAACACCATCATCAACAACATCATCATCAACAGCATAATCACAGTCACCATCATCATACGCATCATCATAACCATCATCATAACCATCAGCATCATCATCGTCATCATCATCACCATCATCAGCAGCATCATCAGCATCATCAGTATCATCATCATCATCATCATCAGCATCATCGTTATCATCACATCATAATCATCATCACCATCATCATCAACAGCATCATCATCGCAGTCATCATGATCCGCACCATCAGCCTCATCATCAGCATCCTCCTCATCCCGTGAACAACACCACTATCATCGGCATCATCATCAACAGCATCATCAGCCTCGTCACCATGATCATAAGCATCATCGTAACCATCATCAGACTCATCATCATCATCATCATCATCACCATCATCAGCAGCATCATCAGCAGCCTCTTCGTCGTCAACAGCATCGTCATCAGCATCATCAGCAGCACCAGTATCATCAGCAGCAACATCATCATCAACCTCATCGTCATCATCGTCATCCTCATCATCCCGTCCTCTATCATCCCTGTCTTTCCGTAGTAGAGAAACATCAAAAAGCTCCGTACCCAAGCACCACTAGACGTGTCGGTTTGACGGTCTGGACGATTCACCTGAGGCAACAATTCAAATTGTGACCCTCGAGACTGATTTCTCGACAGTTTCACGGATGGACGGGTCGTCTTCAAAATGCTACTGCTGATCTCGCAGTAGCGCCGCACGCACTCGCTTCAACAATTGGCCAAAAATTGCAGGGATGGAGGGCGGGCCGTCTTCAGAAAGTGGTTCCCCCCTGGCGCCGCGTACATTCACTTCATTTGGAAATACGATGGCCTTCGGCCCATTTGCCAAGGTGCTCGGGTCGTGGGCAAGAGGCCTCTCAGAGGCCCCTTAAGGGTATCTTGGGAGGCATCTTGAGGGCCTCTAGGAAGCACCTCACTTCAGGGAACTCTTGGAGGCCACGAACCAGCTGAATCCGATGCTTGACGTAAACGCTGGTCTGGCACCTTGGGTGAACAGCATGTGGAGCAGAGACATCACCGACTTCGCGCAACTAAATTCGCGCCGTCGCGCCGATCTTCTGGAGAAGGGCACGCCTCCGGCCCAGGCGTCGACGCGCGCAGCGCTGTAATCCTCGCGCCTTTCGAGCGCAGTGTGCGGAGCAGTGGAACGCGCACTCCCTCCCGAGCATCCAGATGCACTCGCTGCACCATCTGGACTGAAGCAATGGT